CCTGCCATCCAAGTACACCTCCAAGTTGCCTAACACCTAGCACACTTGAGAAGAAATGCAACAGGGTTTGCTTGGTGGGAAAGCAGAGGCTTAGGAGAATTGAACTAAAGCCAAGAACAAACTTTAGCCTTTTAGTTACCTCTGAGAATTTATCTCTTTCTTCATCTGCAAAATGGTAAGCAGTGGGGATTGAGCAGGTGAAAGTGTGTGAGGTACAGGACACTGAGGGGGACTGCATAAAAAAGGCCTGGATGCCACACTTCATCCTGCACGGCAGCACCTTTGTGCTGGGAGGACCCAGAGCTCAGGGTCTAAGGATCTATGCTGAGAATGAGACTAGCCTCATGGTGGGTCCTGCCACGGCTGTTGCCCCACCTTGGAACACGTGGGAGACATCAACAGAGCCTTACATCCTCTCTGTAGACCATTTATGATGCCATTGGCTTTGGCATGTAAAATAAAGCCTATTTTTCATCTTGACTCTCTGGCAGTAAACGAGTAGACCATCAGTCATGATGGCAAAAACATTTTGTTACAGGTTGCAAAATTATTTTCACTTTCCTTCTTTCCCTTGGGACTCCATTACTGAGGTGACAGATCTGGGCTTATTATTTCCATATCAAAGATGAGGAAACAGGTTTCGAGAGGCAGAGATCTGGCACAGGCAGCACAGCTGGGGTTGAATCTCAGGTTTGCCAGGTTCCAAATCCCATGATCATTTTTAACTACCCCTTGACTGCATTTTCAACTAAACGTGAACCCTCCTAAATAGTCCTGATGCAAGCAATACTGACAATCAAACTCCAAACAAATATCAGAATCCAGTTCGGCCTTCCCAGAACTCTGCCAGTTCTGTTACATGGTCTCTTCGGCTTTGATGTCACAGTGAATAAACAAAATAGGCAGGCACCAGCATTCCAGGGAACAGGACCTCGGACAGGGGCACTTCCTACCTCACACAGTTGCTTACTCTTCCCCAGGATAGGTTTTATTTTGAAACTGTGGCTGCTTCTGTGAACATATAGTTAAAATCACTAAACCTGCAATCTTAATTTGCGATCTGGACTTGGTAATCACTATGATTGTTGGAAACAGGGAATGCTCATGGGGGACAAATTCAGGTACTTGTTCTTTGTGACAAAATGAAAAAGCTCCTTTCCCAAACTCTCACAGCAGTGCTGTAGTGAGGACGATGAAACATCTCCTGCAACTTCTGTTACCAGAGACACAGACATTCCTGCCAGTATTAGTTTGCTAGGGTCCCCATAACAGAGTACCACAAACTGGGTGACTTAAACAATAAATATGTATTTCCTCACACTTCAGAAGTGTAGAAGTCTAAGACCAAGGTGTTGGTAAGGCTGGTTTCTTCTGAGACCTCTCCTTGGCTTGTAGGTAGCCATCTTCTCCCTGTGTCCTCACATGGCCATCCCTTTGCGCATGCCTGTGTCCTAACCTCCTGTTCTTATGACACCAGTCATAATGGATTAGGGCCCACTCTAATGACCTCATTTTCACTTAAAATTACCTCTTTAATGACCTTATCTCCAAATACAGTCACATTCTGAGGTACTGGAGATTAAAACTTCCACATGTGAATTTGGGGGTAAGGGCACAATTAAGTCTATCGCAGGTGCCAAGCTTGAAAAATGTAAAAATACCTCCTAGAGATATTTTATCTTCTTAAAATCTAAGAGAAAAGTCCTCCATCACTGCCTTAATTAACTTTTTATTTTAATATCCCATTTTGAAATTAGCCTCTTCTTTCCACTTTTGCCCCACCATAAGCATTTATGTCATTCTGCCTTGTATTGTGTGGTTAACCATGTCTTTCTGAGTGCCCGTGAGATCCTGAGGGCAAGTGAAACTGTCCTTTAGTTACTTTTACATGCTTCCACCACAAGGCTTCCTGAGAAGGAGATACACAGTCAGTGTTTAATATAATTCACTCAACAACACCGATGCTTGCTCTGCAACAGGCTCTGTGCTAGCCACCGGGCCTTTGTTAACTGAAATGAGGTGACTGTGGTCAATATGACTAAAGAATGAAAACTGTATCAGACTAGGAAGGTCCATGCTCAGATCCGTGTTTTTCAAAGCTCACGCCAGCAGGTGTACAGCGGAGGGATGGAGGGGTTGATGTGATGCTGCCACAGAATCCAGTCAACAAGTAGGGCTGTGCTGTGGTGCAAGTCAGCATACCAATTCTCACTGTCCATTCTCCTACCTTCCTTCTTTTTGTGACTTTGGGCAAACTGCCTCATTTTTTCTGAACCTCAATTTTAAACATTTTAAAACACAGACTTAATGAGAGAGTTTGGTTATATTTTGGTTGCAAAGGCTTCTCAAGCTGAGGGTTTGTGGCTCCTGGCCTTGCATTACCTCTCATTATCCTGCTCCTCCCCACACCTCATCAGTATTTGTTCTACAGCAGCGAGGTGACTCTCATGGACCCTTAAATGGGTCAGGTTGGTGACAGTAGATGAGCCAGGCTGACCACACAGAAAGAGGGCAGAGGCCACAGGCAGTTCCGCTAGCTCAGCTGTATTCCAGGATGTCTCAACGTCCTCACCAAGCTAGAAGGAACCACTAAAAATTGCCTATTCATCAGGAGAAGGACTATGTCTTGCTGAATATTTGTACTTTTCAGCAGCATTAAAGGAAGTTTTTTTTCTTGTCAGCCCTTCTCCTGGTCCTCATTATATAATCCACATTTTTCTGTGCTTCTCCCTTTTAGCTTATCCAGACTTGTCTTTCTTTTTTCTGTGCATGTGGCATATTTCCTACGTGATTCTACTTTGTATTATGTCCTTGGATAATTTTGGAAGGAGAGGAAGACTTTGCCTGCTTTCTGACTATTTGATACAAGAGCACAGGCTGAGTTTGAATATGGCTCTTAACAGGCTGCCAAGAGTCTAAGCTCCATCCAAAAGTAATATATTCCCTTCCTGGAACAAAAAAATCCACTCTAGGGTGGAATGGGGGATGTGGGGTTGGGAGATGATGTCGGTACATATACGTCAGTTGTACCACAAAACGCTGAGTTGTGTTTAGTATTTACAATCCTCCTCTCTCCCCATCTTGAGGCTAGTGCTTTTTCGGTACTGAGTATTTTCAGTATATAAACGAAATACCTCATTTCCTGCACTTCAACTATGTCTTCAAAGAGAAAACTTGTCTCATTTTAAACAAATAGTAAGGATCATGGCACACAGAGCTCTCTTAAACACGGAGTGACAGCTTGCATGACCTTTTTGGTGATATGAAAGTGGCTTTGACAAATCTCATTTGTCTGTACTTTCCTTGGGGCTGAGAGTGAAGACAGTTCTGAAGCTCAAGCTAACTTTTGGGTGATAAAATAGTAGAAGATGTGACTCTGAAAACTATGGAGAGTGGTATGTATAATAATACTGGAACTCGCATACCATCACACTTTTCTGTAAAATCAATTTATATCAATTGAATAATAAATGCATTTCTTACCACTCCCATATAAAAGATCTTCACATGCTAAAAATGAATCACTTAGATCTTTTAGAAATGTCACGGTAATCTTATTACATGCACACATGCCAGTATACGTGTACCTTTCTGCACACACTTATAGACATAGGTTTTTATATACCTAGTGCTCTCAGGTGCTCTGCTTTGCAGTAATGATGATTCTGGGTCCCTTACATGCATCAGGGTCCATGCAAAGTTAGTGAGCTTTTAATAATGACATAAGCACCTGCAAACTCACCACCCAAAGCCATAGGTATGACTTTGACACAGTTTATACCTAACCATATGGCTGTACCCCCATCTCATCCCTTGCCTATTCCCTACTGGATATAACTATCAGTCTGAATCCTGTGTTCATCACTCTCTTGCTTACCTTTCTATATGATTTTATGGCTTTATTTGTAGTCTTAAAATTTTTTTTATGTTATTTGTGTTTAATTTAGAATGTTTTAAGACTTAATCTTTTGCACTTAATGTTTTAGTGTCACTACAGTTCAACTGTTTTGATTGCTTGTGTGAATATACCACAGTTTATTTTCCACTCTCCTTTGATGGGCATTTGGGTTGTTTCCCAGCTTTGCTATTGTGAGCAGTATAGCTATGAGCATTCTTATACATGTCCTTTCTTGTACAAGTGCAAGGAAGGAATTCTGGAGCACAGGCTATGCGAAATGTTCAACTTCAGGAGACAATGACAATGTTTAATATTTTATGCAATCATTCCACACACATATATACACATGGATGTTTCAGATTACTCAAATGGACAGTTGTTACACTTAAGTGATAAAATCAATATTTTCTATTTGGTATTTTACTCAGAAAAAGTTAAAAGAAAAAGTGCGCATTTCTTCCACAAGCCTAACATTATGTAAGCAGACACAAAATGGAATGGCTTGAATCATGCTTGATAAACTCAGACAAACCCAAATAATACCACTGCCGTAGAAATTGTACCTTCCATGGAACAGTTTTATCTCATGTCCAGGGAAAGATTAGCTTCCCTACAGTACAAAATGCTGAGTTAAGAGTCCATGATGTAGACATTGATGCCCAGATGTACACCAGACCTCCCCTACCGCCTTCCACATGTGATGTTGAAGGAATTTTTTTCTCTTATCTGCAAATAGGAGGACCTTTCTTGGTAAAAAATCCATGTACTTTCTCTTTAACTGAGAGAGGTATAGATACTTTTTCAAGCCAAACAATAGTGTAATTAGCAGCTTGTCAATAATCATCAGCAAATACAATGATCTGAAATTTTACTGCTCTTTTACCAGCCTCTGTCATCCTCTAAACTCTAGTCAGTGTTTTGATTGAACAATTACTTTTCTTGTTCAGAAATTATCTCTGGAACAAAACACACCCCTTTGCATTTTTAAAGTTTTCAATTTTTCTTTCTGGGTTAAACAAATTGGCTACTTTGAGATATAAGTCCACATGAAACTACACTTCATGAAGATAATGTTTTCTGGCCTGATGAAAAAACAACTTACCTTCACATAGAGCTGCTGAAATTCCTCAAGATTCAGCCTCCCACTTGGACAGTCCTTGAGGAATCCTTTGTACCATTGCTTGAGCTCATGCTCGTTAAACTCTGTGCTCTTCACCAGGTCCTCCATTACTTCAGGGGCCAGTTTGCTATTCTGTTTCCCCATTTTGCCTGAAGAAAAGCAAATTAATGCAATTAGTGCCATGGCTTTGATTATTTCAATCTTGATTAGGAGCTAAGCTGGAGTTTCTGAGCAGTTCCTTGGTGGGAACTCCCTCCAGGATGTCTGATCAAAGTCTCCCCAAGTCTACTTCCTTGTATTTGGTACTCTAGAAAAGAGACGGGCACAAAACACTCTTGTCCCAGTTCAAAGGGCTGTAGGGCTCACCCTCATCCATCACGTGTCGTCTTTCACATGGCATTGTTTACCACATGGGAAGGCAGCTGTCCCTTTTTAGGCTACTCATGTAAAGTATATAGAGATTGTTTATATTTTCCTTCTATGAATTAAGTTCATTAGCATTTGCTGCCCAGGTGCCTACTTCTACATTTAGTTTGTAGGGATATTCAGATTACTGACAAGAACAATAAGAAGGCTTTATAGCCAAATGACCAGAAAGTAGCTTGGAAAGGCTGATCAGCCACGGTAGGGAGTCTCAGTTGTCCTAGTTCTAAGATTGCAGATTTTTTAAAAAAAATCTTTATTAATTTCAGAGAGGGGAAGGGAGAGGGAGAGAGGGAGAGATAGAAACATCAATGATGAGAGAGTTGTCATTGATCGGCTACCTCCTGCACTCCCCTGACTGGGAATCGAGCCCGAAACTTGGGCATGTGCCCTGATGGGGAATCGAACCATGATCTCCTGGATTCTAGGTTGATGCTCAACTGCTGAGCCATGCCCAGCCGGGCCAGATATTTGTTTTCAAATGGAAACACCTCATGTTTATTAGTCACATTAATTCTCTATTTCTCTTCTCATCTTCAGAGACTTCCTAAACATTTCTTTCAGTGTTGACCAGCTCTTGGTGGCTTTTTCAAAAGATTGGTTGGTGAATTTTAGTTTACGTAATTCCATTATTTTATTATTACTGCTAGTAAGTAAAAATAATAGTGCATAAAATAATGTTACCTACATCAATTATGTGCCAGGTTGTGTGGCGATTATCATAATAGAATGCAAATGAACAGAGCATAGGTTTAAAGTCATTCCTGATTTTTACTCCTGATTTGGCCATTTACTATGTCTGTTACTTATGACAATATTAACTAACTGCTCTATCTTCAATTTCTTCCTTAATAAAGCACATATAATAACAAAACTCAGATTCATTGTTGTGGCTAATTAAGAAATAGGCAGGTAAACAAAGATAGAAAATACTCCAAAATTAAAATAGTTGTATTAGTGCAGGAAAATTAAGGATGACTTTTAAAAATTTCCCTTTAGTGTTGTTTTATAATTAAAAAAAAAAGAATGAAAACAAAACAAATTAATGACAGAATAATTTAAAAATTCAAAGTAAACTTGAAAATCTAAGGGACCACCAGAATAAGGAAAATGTCACAAGATATTTAAAACCCTTTAGATGAGACTGAGTTAGGTTTTGAAGAATTTACCCAAGTGGACCTAGTGCTTTATTCAACATTCTTGAGACAAATACTCTCCCAGGCTCTAGGCACGTCTACACTTGCAATAGCCCAGAAAAGGTAATCTCATCACATACTTTGTTATTAGTATTTTTTTTATCTCTTCTGAAATAGATTCCACACCCATTGTCAGTAACCTGCCCTAACACTGAACAATTCTTTCACTGAAATGAAACCAAGCCACTTCCTCCAGGGAAGGCTTCCTCCTCAGCACAATTGCAACAGCACACAGCCCAGTCAGAAGATACCATTAAAATGGCCATTTGTGTTCTAGGCTCTTATGTTTGAAAAATGACCTGAGGATCAGCAACTACGCCCTTTGTCATGGAGCTTCTCTACTTATTCTTACTCTTAATTTCAAGTTCCAAGTCTCTTATTAGTAACTGTCTCTTAATTATAAGTTACTGTGGGATTCCACAGCTGGATATGGAAATCAAGTAGGTGCTCAGGTGTCAGATTTAATTAATCTGAGTAAGAAAACTATAATTCATGGTTATCCTGATAATCAAAAGATGTAATCACTTTGTTCTTTTCAGTAAAGAATTGCAAGTTTTCATTATTGAGCTAGGATCTCACCTAACAGTAACAGCTACTGAATACTGAGTGTTCTCTGTGGGTTAGGCACTGTACTGTGCACTTCACGAACTTGCCTATGACCTTATGAAACCTCAGCAATAAGGATTAGGGCAGCTCTCTCAAAATCATACAAATAATGCACGGCAGAACTAAAAGTTGAAACTGAATCTGCAAGACACCTATGCACAATCACAGACAGACAGGTGGATGGAAGGCATGTTAGGAGAAGGAATAGGAGGAGCAAAAGCAGGAAGAATCGGTGTCTCCTGGCACTAAAATAAAGAGAAAGATCAGTCACTTTGCCAGGCCTTGTTTGGAAAACCACAAGCTCAGAAGTGAGCTTGTATTAATAATGGGAAAATGGATTAAAGATTATTAAACCACCTCCTCCAAATGCCTTTAGAAGGTCAAAGTGTCAGCTTCTCTCTTAGGCTGGAAAGCTTGGGTTTTCCACGGACACTTATGATTCCTTAAACTGTTTCAGTTGCCTGGGGAGACGGTGGTCTCTTACACACACAGGGAACATTGTCAGCACCATGAATCACAGTTCTGAAGACTCAAATGCATAACTTCATGCTTCTTGGTTACACTTCATGGTGAGCACTATCATTCAGGTGTGCCTGGCAATGAGTGAATCATGCAGAAAATCAAGTTCTGAACTGGTTCAAAGTGGCATTGACAATGCCCTCATCAGGACCTGTCTGGATTAATGACCAGCCTCCTCACGGGGCTCTCTGACTCCCATCAACCTTTTTCTGCATGGCTGCTTGAATGAATTTCTGAAATCGAAACCTTGCCATCTAATCCTCTCCCTAAAACCCTCAACAATTCTCCATTGTTTAGAGGATGTAGCCCCATCTTTCTACCATGGCACAGGCCCTGCCTACTCATCTGTCTTTTTACTTCATACGCCAGGCAATTATCAACTATTACAGGTCCCAGGTTGTACATGCTTCCACAGGTCCCTGCTTTGTACATGCTGTTCTCTTTGTTTAGAATGGCATGCCCTTTGTCTGCTCAGTAGAACCTTTCTTCTTTAAGTGGCTTCAGCTCACATGCCGCCTCCTCTGTGAAACCTTTGTAGACTTTACAAGGCCACCATAAGCATCCTTTTTCCTAGACATCCCCCTTATCTTGTAAAAGCTTCCATGATCATTATTTATTTCTCTACCTGATGGTTAGTTTCTTGAGAAAGAGAACTGTCTTTTATTTATCTTTGCATCCTTGGTACCTCATTCTAAGTGCTCAACAAATATCTTTCCAGAGAACAAATGAATGAGGGGAACTGAAGCATTATGAAGTAGGTACTCAGAGAAGGACCTTGTCACTGATCTTCATCAAGTTATGGTATTTGGTAGGCTTTATTCAGTCTCATAATAATCTGTATAAGAAGAAAATCAATGTAACCATAGTATAGATATAAAGTGCTGGCAGCACATGCAGGAAATGTTTCATTTAACTGTATAGAAACTAGTCTGTCCTCTTGGAGGCTGTTTCCTTGTCCGTCTTCATCATTAAATTTTGAAAACCTTGAATGTAGGACCCCTGTTTTGTTTGTTTTTAAAATCTCAGTACTCTCAGTTCCTGGCATAAAGCTGGTGCTTAGTAATGTTTGATAAATGAATGAAAAAGCATCCACGGGTTAATGCTCCTCACCTACACTGCCTTTGTTCTGGGGCGGCAATGATATGGATTAAGTAGCATCTTTCACTTGGGACCAGGAATACAGAAAAGGTAAAAGAGAAAGTAAAGCTTCTCAAGTTCCCAGTGATGGTGTGAGGGAGATTTATCCCAGCTCTGTTTCTAGTTGATTTTGCAATCTTGGGTAAGATCCTTTCCCTCCCTGTTGCTCAATGTCCCTCTTTGAAAAATAAGTGAGTTGGACCAGATGATCTTTAAGCCCATTCTAACCCCTTCCATTCACTGATTTGCAACATAAGTTTTGTAAATATGAAAACTGAAGTCACAGACTTCAAATTGGCTGTCTCAAAAGAATCAGCACATGTGGATTTTTTACCTGAGAACCTGTCCGTACTTGAGTGTTTGTTACCTTAGAAGGGAGGGGACAGAAACTGGAGTGTATTATGTTTAAGCCTGAGTTTCAGGATATAAGGTAAAAGTCAGCCCAGCCGCAAACCAAATAATTTCTCACTGCTTGAGTTACAGTTAAGTGCTAGATACAAAATGAGACTGGTGGAGGGGTTCTGATGGGCAAGAGAACCCCCACCAGGGATGGGCCCTTGAGTGAAATCCCAGTACCACTTTATTGCAGAAAAGACTAAATTTTTATACAGTGCTGTTTTACAAAAGGCCTTTGTGCAATATTTGCCCATATACCAATGCGGTAAGAAAGAGATAATTATCATTTCCTCTTCACTGATGAGGAGTTTGAAGCCTAGAGAGATTAAGTAATTTGCCCTACCTCAACCAGCTAGTAAAAAGTTTAGTGCAGAGTGAAGGAAGTTCCCTGGAGCCCCATGGCTTCTAATAAAGGCTATCATCTCTTGTCTGGATCCTGCAGCCACCTCCTAACCGGTCTTGCTACCTTAGTTTTGCCCACTTTTCACCCACTTCCTGCACTGTCTTGATAGCAGGATTGCAGAGCAGAAGAGGCAGAGCACATAAGAGTGCCCTGAGGAGAAAACTGGAAGACTTCACAGAAGAGGGAAAAGGCCCAGCAGGGGAGCCAAGAAACACCCAAGTGCATCTTTCCTCCATGAAACCTTTCAGTCTTAAAAAGGATTTAAATGGAATAGGTGTGTGTGTGTGTGTGTGTGTGTGAGTGTGCTTTGCTCTGAGTTGATGCACTCTGCTCTAAGTCCAGCTTCCCAGGACACAGCAGGGCCTGCTGCATGTGATGAGGCACACAGAATGGCAGGTTCAGCTTCTCCATGTAATCTGGCCATCAGCCTGGCAAGATTCATGTAAAGACTGGGGGGCTGAGATGGAGT